TTAAACGCCGATTACGGCGAAACTAAAGGAGATAGCGCAAAATAGTTGGTAAATTCGTAATCAGCGCGTCAAAATCTATCGGATAAGATAGGTTTAAATCGAATCTGAGACATGTTCAAAAACACAATTTTTTAAGGGGGGGGTGTTAACAAATTTTTAGTTTTTTTTAATTTGTAAATTGCGGCAAAACTGTGCCTCAATGATGTAATGTTTTGACCTAAACCTATGTAAAATGTTCCGGGGAATCGATTGGCGTCAAGAAAACTGCAAAATTCGTAGTAGTTTTGAAGTTATAGACGCATTTAAATTTTTGATATTTTTGATTTTATCACAAATTTTCTCGATAACTATTTATCGTAGAGCACTGAACTTTTTAATATATGATAGAAAATTCAATTTTCTATCCAACGGTACCAAATATAAGAAGTTATCTCTAATAAGTCCGGAGTTATTGGCATTAGACCGCTGCGGATATCAAAAATCGCCGAAAATTTCGATAAAAATCGAAAAAATTGAAAACTTCAAAACTGTCCATTTGCACTCTTGGGTGTTCAAAAGACTTAATAAAGCACAAAAACATTGTAAAAATGCAAAAAAAAAAATTGAAAAATTTTGTGTAAAATATATTGAATGTAAAAATAAAAATTTTCGGCGGCGGTGGTGGCTCAGCGGCATTGGTCCCGCTTTCCCGAGTTCGAGCCCCGGTCAAGTCGGCAATTTTTCTCAAATTCAAATTCAAATATAAATCAAATAAATGACAAAAGAGGGCAGGCGCATAAGAGCGCGATCTTTAAAACATGTGCACATGTTCTAATAAGTATAAGAGAGAAAGCGCAAAATACTAACTAAAATAAGCACCAATAGATGGCGGGCGTATAAGAGCGCGAAGTTTAAAACAGGTATCTACAAAAGTGAAAATAGTGTAAAAATTAATAGTATATAATAAGTAAACAAAAGGTAAGTTAAAAGTAATATAAATAAAAGGTAAGTTTTGCATAAAAATTAACGAATTCTTTTTTATTAATTATTATTATTAACTAAAAATACAAATAATTTAATTTACATAAGTGTACTAGTGAAATAAAAAGTAAAATTAGCATGAAATGTGTACAGGGTCTTCAAACAGATTGTGAAATATTTCAGGGGGTAGTAGTGCGGACCAAGAAAAATATTTTTAACACCCTGTATATGTACAATTGTAAACAAGTCGCAAGTTTTTTTACATAGATAAACACCCCTTAAACCCTATCTCTTCCTGCGCCACTGGTCTTCAGGCGGCCTTCGAGTTGTTTTAAGCCAATAAAGTGGTTCGAAGTCACATAATGTTAAATTATCACAAATTATTGGCACTTGATTAGTTTTTTTTTTATAATAAATTGTTTTTTTACGAAATGTTCTAATTTTTTTAAGTAATAAAGTACAATTTGTTTTGTTAATTTTTAGCTAATAAATCGTTTTTCAAATTTTTTCTTCGATTTATTTATGTTGGGGGATTAATCTGGTGACAAAGGTCGCAGGCTGGGTCAAAGCATTGACAGACAAATTATAAATGGAAGGAAACGCTCGCGTTTGCTTTTCATCACCTCTCTGAATTATTTTTACTGCTTCCATATGTGAAGTTTGAGTTTTTATCAAAACCAACGACAAATTTCCGTTTTTCCCTCAAAAAATCACAAATTTTTCGATTAATTATTTCCCTGGAGGAGTGTACGGGGAGGGGCCTCGTGGGCGACCCCGCCCACCAAGCGCCGGTGTTGGCAGACAAACCCATCAATCAAATCGGCTTTATTTCAAACGAAATGAAATTAATTCTGTCCCCAATCGAATTGATTTATTGTTGTTTCACACCCAATCACATCATCGTATTGGTTACTAGGTGATGACAGACAGCCAATTGTTAAAAAATCGCAGCTTGGAGTGTACTCAAGCCCCGCCTTGTAGTGGGGGCATTTCCAAAATTGTCATGGCCAACGTTGACAACATGTGTGAAAAACTATCGCTTCAGTCACTCAACGTGCTTCATTTAAGTTGGCCGTGAAAAATGAAATGCTAATCGAATTTTCCTTTCTGTGAAATAATTTTAATAGTCATCGAGGTGTCGAAAAATCGATTTCATCGCGTGTGCCGTGATCAAATTAAGAGTGTCGACGTTCAACTGTTGGCGAGTTGCGCCGGATAACTAGATCGCGGATTAATTGGTTCTTTGAACTGGCGAATAATGCATCAGGAGGGTGCGATGGGTACCATGGATGGGTACCAGCAGTATTGTTATCAAGGTGATAGTTGGTATAGTTCGCCCATGAAACAGATCGAGGGTGAGTGTGATGGTAAAAATCCAGTTTTGAGGAGGAAAAAAAGAGTTTTAGTGTCGGAATAAATCACTAGATTCGGTTACAAATGTGCAATGTGTTTAACTAATGAGACTACTTGATTTAGTGAAATGGGTTTACGGCGGGTGCGTGCAATTAGACGCCGAGCGTCGCTCAACGACGATTGTGAAAAAAGCGACATAAATTTTTCAACGAGAAAAAATAATACAAAAATATAAAAACGTAGAATTCCAGCAATTTTATCTTAAAATTTGTTACAGCTTTTTGAAATTTTTGAATCAAAAATTAGTTTTGAAATTTGTTTTATCTTTTTTTATGTAAATTTCAATGATTTAAATATCTTTTTATTCAAAAACACAAACACAAAATTTTGTAACAAAAAAGTAAAAAACTTAATTTATCTAAGATTTTTATAATTCATAACTACTCGAACTAGAATTTTGTCAAAAATAAAAACTTTTTGACAATTCGAATTTAAACCTGGCAAAAACAATACAAATTGTCAATTTGTATTTGAAACGTGTCAAAAAATTTCCACATTTTGTTGAAAACGTATTTTTTAAAACAAAATTTGTAAAAATTTGGCCAAATGTCCCATTTTTCGAATACAACTTGTCAAAATTGTCAAAAACAGTCGTTTAAACCGTTTGAGTTTAACCGAATTTCATATTTACAAATTTTTTTAGAATATTTTGTATCGCTTCTTAAAAATAACATTTTTATTATCAATTGTCAAGTATTTGTTATAAATGTTCTAAAAATCGACGATTTTTAGTTATTATTATATTTTTTATAAGAATATTTGTCATTAAAAAATAATAATAAAACTACGATCTTAAATATCGCTATCAATAATAAACCAGTGTTTGACAAGGATAAGTTAATGCAAAATTTTATTAGACGGACAAAGTGAGAAGATAACAGAACAGTTTAGTGTTCTTTTTTTTTTTTAATTTTTGTGTACTGTTACACAAGGATAGACTAGTTTTTATAATAAGAATTTGACAAGGATGAATTAATCGGAGATTTTATTAATCAGACAAAGATAAATTATTACAGATAAGTTCAACTAGGGTTTTTTATTTTTTTATTATTGTTTGTTGTTAAAAAAGATGAATTAATACGAAATCCTATTAGACAGACAAAGAGAGAAAATAACAGACCGATTTAAGGTATTGTTTTTATTTTTTTTATTTTAATTAACAATGACTTGTATTTAACAAATAAAACAACATTAAATAAATTTATGACATTTTTTATTAGAGAATAATAATAACATTTGATCATTTGTCAAAAACAAAGTGTCGATTGTTAAATATAACTTATAATTTGTGTTTCGAAATTTTTATTTCATTCATACTTTTTATTACAACAATTTTTATTTCACATTTTTCGATAAGTTGTCAAAAATAGTTTCTGTTCAAAACTTGCCAAACTTTAGAAGAATTAAAAAAATAGAATAATTCTTTATTTGTTGTCAAAATAATCAATTATTTGTTAAGGTGCGAATAATTTGACTTTGTATTGTAACAAAAATTTTGTTAAAAACAAAATTTTTAAAAGTATTTTTTATAATTTGTGAAAACAACGTTTTGATTGTCAAATACAGCTTTCATTCTAAAACTTTTATTTTACTAAAACTTTACATATTAAATAATTTATGACAATTTTTTCGAACAAAGCAAACCAAAAATGTTATTTAGACACTGGTTTATGAAACTGTCAAAAGCAACACTTGTAATGGTCAGAATGAGTTTGTAAATTGCTTAGTTTTTGTCAAATTTCAAAATAAGCAACATATTTTTATGAGTTTTTTTTAGAACAATTTTTGTATTTATTGTCAAAAACAATTAATTATTTGTTAATGTGAGAATAATTCAACTTTGCATTGTAACAAGAATTGTTGAAACTGTGTTAAAAACAAATTTTTAAAGTATTTTCTATTGATTATAAAAATTTGTCATAAACAACGTTTCGATTGTCAAATACAACTTCCACATTTTGGTCTGGTTTTCTGAAACAATTTCTAATAATTTTTTGTAACAAAAAACTTTGTAACGTCTTTTAAAAAACAACACCTGCAAGTGTCAAAAATAGTTTGCAAACTGATAAGTTTTTGTCAAATTTCTTGAAAGGAAAATTAAGCAACATATTTTTTTAGATCATTTTTTTATTTATTGACAAAAAATCACAAATAACTTGATCTATCAAGAAACGCAATTTTCTTAACAAATTTTTATATAGGTAATATTACTAATTTCTCAAAAAAACGTCTTAATTTCTTATAAATTGTTGAAAACCACTCTCTTGATTATTACTACTAGTTTTCAGAATAACTTTCAATAGATTGTCAAAAATAACTCTTCCTCTGTCAACATAATCTTAAAAAAATTTCATAAATTTGTTAAAAATTCTTTTGTTGTCAAACACAGCTTCACAATTTTATTCCATCAAAACTTGACACGCGACAATATTCAATAAACGGCTTTTTTGTACAAATTGCATAAAAACTACCGTTTTTACATTTTACAATTAAAAAATTAATGTTTTATTTGTTTATTTAACCAAAACCACAAATTAAATCAAATTAAAAAGTGACAATGTCCAATGAACGCTTTTTTGAAACACCAAAATTAATAGAAATACCCGAAACTTTAACAATATCAATTTTTTGACCGGTTTACGCGTTCCTCAATCTAGTGAGCCAATTGTTATAATCATTTTAGTGTAAAATATTGTTGATTTATTCGATTATTTCTAGAAACTGAAAAAATTAATAAAAAATTTGTTGGAAGTGATAGTATCCGATGGACGTGTTTTTCAAATGTCAGCAAATTAATCGAAATGTCAAAATCGATTAAAATTGTCTTAAACTTAAATTATGACAATTTTTGGCCGGTTTTTGCGTTCCGTATTCTAGCCTACTATGTTTTATAATCAATATTGCGCAAAATATCAATGATTTATTTGATCATTTGGCCAAAATCTGAGAAAATCGATCAAAAAAAGTTAACAAGTGAGAGTATCTAATGAACTTGTGTTTCAAACGTCAAGAAAATGGACCAAATGTCAAAATCGGTTAAAATTGGCCAAAACTCAAATTGTGTCGATTTGTGACTGGTTTTCGCGTTTCGCAATCACTTCTACAATATTTTGAAATGGTTTAAAATCAAAAAATCGTCGATTTAATTGATGATTTGGCTAAAAATTTCAAAAACACTTGTTTTAGCCTGTCTTCAAATCGCCGGCAAAGACCGCAAAGCCTACAGCCCCCTCGCCGAAGCCGACTCTCTGATCGAGCCCCCCGACCCCGACAACAACAATCGCCACACAACCCAGAACAAAAACCACAGGTAAACCACCCATTTCCCCCCTCCACACAACTAACCCATTGCTCAGTTTACACCCATCGATATGTCCCACATTGTCAAACGCCGGCGCCATCCTCGAAATGAAACATTTATGGGACGAATTCCATTCGTTGGGTACTGAAATGATCGTCACTAAAGCCGGAAGAAGGATGTTTCCAACATTTCAAGTGAAATTGTGTGGTTTGGATCTGCATGCTGAGTATATGTTGATGATGGATTTTGTTCCGGTTGATGATAAGAGATACAGATATGCGTTTCATAGTTCGAGTTGGGTGGTGGCAGGGAAAGCGGATCCGGTTTCGCCCCCCAGGATACACGTTCATCCTGATAGCCCCGCCACGGGGGCGCAATGGATGAAACAAACGGTGTCGTTTGATAAACTGAAGCTGACCAATAATCAACTAGATGATAATGGACATGTGAGTAGCCAATTGACGCATGATTCTCATCCTATTTTTTCATCTATTACTATTTATTATCATATTTATTATTATTTTGTTTTAGATTTAACATTTAACAATGATTATCATTATCATCATGATTATCATTTTTTTTATTATTACTACTTATCATCATATTTTTTATCTATTACTTTTTATTATCACTTTTCCTCTTCTATTATTTATCATATTTATTATTATTTTGTTTTACATTTTACATCATGAT